TCCGTAATACGAATTTATGTTTTGACAGCGATAATCGTGCAACTATTACTAAAACGACTGGTCGCTAAAGATCGGTAATAAGCCTGCGGTAATAAGCCTGCCGAATGGCATACATTACCGTTAACTTTTTCTTTTAATTTATTGCTGGAAACAAAGTCCTTCAGCCGAAAACGTAAAAATTAGTTTTTCTGTAAATATGGCCGCCACAAAGAGGAAAGGCAATTTGAGGCGGCGGCGTGCTTGGATTGACTCGGGATTCCTTAGAACGGGCCGATACGGGTATTTTAGTTCGAGATTCGTATAATTTCGCGTTTTAATCTTCGATTAAAGCACAATAGCACTATCCTATTCCACTTTAAACTAGATTTGACAAAATAATTGAAAGTCAAAATAAAAACGACACTTTTCCCTCCAAAAGGTCCAGAGCGAATCTTACCGTTAACATATAAATATGTGTTACTATAATGTAAAATTTTTTCTCATTTAGCTTATCAGCTATAATTTACAACAATTTAAATTTTCATAATAACACCGAAGTAGTGAATATACCATCTCCTGAGGAAAAGCCAGAAGAGGAGGTAAGTGATCAGATCACTGGTTTTTTTAAATACCTTATTAATTAATTAAATATAATCATTATAATTACTATCATTACTTTGACAATTTTACTATGGTATGTACCTTAATTAAACCTATCCTTGTATACTTTTTTACCTCCTTTATTAAACTTATTTTTATAACCGCAAAACTATTTTGTATATCAGGAATATTCTGAAAGTTTCTTTCAGAATGTTCCGAATATAGAAAATAGTCTTTCTTCTTCAAGTAGATCATCATCAACATCCTCTTCCAACAGGTCCTCATCAACTCAACATCAACAATCTTCTTATAACAAAACTTCTTGCGTAAGTAGGAGAAGATTTGGACCCTTCGTACACGAGGCAGTTTCATACAGATGCTATTAAAAATCTATCGTAACTATATTCACGCTTTACTTTGAGGGGAAGAGTCGGCGCGAGAGACAGCCATTTGTCAATAAAGTTTGCCGCCTGTGGCTCCATTGCCTATGATGGGAATGCATGCATTCTGTTTTCGCGTACTTCAATAATATCAATGTTTTCGGATGTTCTGTGGCCAAGTAAACGGCGAATTCATACTAGGTTACTAATAAATGGCAAGTCACTGTATTCATATTGTTAATTATATTATAATTGTTCTGTTTTTTCTAAGTGTTTTGTCGGTATATTCAAACATTTTGCTTTCTACCTTCGGGGCAGATTCATACACACACACCTAAGGTTGTAAGGTTGTCAAGGTAATGATAATGATTATAAATAATAAGGTATTTAAAAAAACTGTGACTTACTTCCTTTTCTGGATATTCCCCCGGAGATAGTATAGTCACTTCATGGGTGTTACTATGAAAATTTGAATTGCTATAAATTAAGATATTCGTATCCGAAAAATAAGCTAAATGAGTAAATTAGTACATTGTAGTAACATTTAAATAACCTACCATAAGAATAATACCACCATCACATTTTTTATTGAGTGTTTCTTGGTGCCTCTAGTGCTCTATTATTAGTAAACACGTTTCCCTGGAAACAAAAAAACAGTTATTAAACTAGAGTTCGTAATCTAGTATAAATATGCTAGTAAATCACATTTCAGAAAGTGTAGTCTTACTTGATGTTTTAGTTTTTGTAAAATAAAATCTGTCCTTCTCTTCATTCCGTTGTATGTAAGTTACCTAAAATTGGAAACATCAAATAGAAATAGCTTATTTTATATATTAACTAAAAATAACGGATAACTCACGTATTTAAGTCGAATTTTTGCTCGACATGTTTCGAACCGATTCGTGGTCCTTAATCATGAGATTTCGGTGACTCGACGGAAACTGCGCGCCAAAGCCCTGGCAGCCCGATCGCTCAGTACGGCAGCGGGCGCAGGTAGCGTTCTGTTATTGAAATGTATGGACAACGGTACATCAGACTACACATTTTTGTTCGAAAATCGCCTTCAGTGCAGCGGAACAAGATACGTCAATGTGTAGCTTGATAGTGGTTATCAATGTAACAAAACTATTTCATTTCCAGACTGGCTAAAATAACCACTATAACTATAACCACATTAATATTATAAGAGGGACATAATCATAAATAAGTTTCTTCATACATAGACCGAACGATGATTGCGTCTATAAAGCAATACAATTTTTTAGTCAACGAATGACTTAATGACAAATAAGACCCTTCGGCGTGAGTAAATTTTGCTATAAGTTAAACTCAACACGAAGCAGGTCTTCACTTTATTAAAAAATAGTAACATCCACATACCTTCATTTTTTGTTTTGTACCGGCTTAATTCGGTTTAGGTTGTCGTAATCGTAGACGTAACACCTTACTTATTATCCTCGCGGCACAGTTCCGTCTGTCTCAAACTGAACGGACGTAAGGAAATGGGCAGGTGTGAAAAAGTCCAAAGTCTAGGTTTTTGCATTTCCGCGCAAATTTAGGCCTATGTTTTATAAACATAGCAGTCGACGAAGATAGTCATCCAGTCATTTTATGACTAAAAGTCAAAATCTTAAAATTTTGGATTAGGTCACTATAATTCTATAGGTGCGACCTATCCAAAGTAGAAGTTGCTGAACGAAAACGATGCAACATTTTACATCTTGCTTTTAATTGGCTCCACTGTGATATAAAGGATGGAAAAAAAATAAACACTCTGAGGGTCGTATTCTAGAACTCTACTCAATGCTCAAGTCAGGATTGCAATTGAAACACAAGCACTGGAAATACGACCCTAATGGCAGGGACTTGAGTATGATTTCGAGTGCTTTAAACAATACTCAAATCCTGACTTGAGCATTGAAACAGTAACAGTGAAAAGGACTAAAAATTAATGCAAGATGTATTATATTGTTTTTAAATTATGTGCATGTACGTACAAACAAACAAAATATGTACATACAAACAAAATATTATCAAATCATATTTTTTACTTAAAACACCAAATTTAATAAGATAATCTTATAAAACTATTTCCTGTGGAAAGATTTTTTATCCTATTGGCAATATTTCATGGATTAACAACTTTTGGCCGTCCTTTTTGTTTATTCGATATTTTTTTATTTGTTTTATGTAAATACAGATACTTTTAAGCAGGACTGTGAATTATTTATTGCTATAATACTGTTACTTTAACGCTATTATTTTTTTTATTAAGAATAATATAATTGAAATAATAAATTGGTTCATTACTAAATAGTGTTATCTCCCTTAGAGGATGGAAAAATTAGTCTAAGCTCTGGACCATACATTTTTTCCTGTATATCCTTCAATTTACTGCGCCTTAACCTCAATAATCAACTGCTGGAATTGTACGAGTATAGTAAACCTGAAGATATCCTGCGCTCAAGAGAGGACCTATTGAAAACATAGAAGCTTACAGTGGTCTTTAAATATATTAACATAACATCTACCCTTCATGACATATGATATAAATTCAAAGAAAAAAACAGATAAAACAGGCGCTTGTCGCCTTTTACATCAAATCAAGGAAAGGTAACAATTTTTACGAAGAGGCTGTATGGTGAAACCTTTGCCAGCCTAAATAAATGGGTGAAAAATTATTTAAAAAATAACTTGACATGACAGTTGGGTTTAGTATTTTTTGCCTAGAGTAGAGGATGGAATATTTTTTGCCCAGTGATCTCGAGTCTTCCGATTTTTCGATATTTCTACTGATTTGGCGCTTCTTTCTTGAATATTTTACAGGGACTCCCTACTGCTCAAATGTCGATCGACGCGTGAACACTTAACTGTTAATATTTTCATGATATCATTAGTGAGTAAATACTATTCCTACTTTAAAACCTAGACATTTGTTCAGTTTATTGTTTTTTTATTTACCGATTTTTGGTCCAAATATACCGATTTTACTTGGCAACCCTACCGATTTCGCATTTTGACTTTCGTTCGAGACCACTGTTTTTGCCTGAAAGCAAGTGGAACAAAACAATTATCAAAAGCCTGTTTTGCTTAAGATTTTAGTGAATTTTGCGTTGCATTTGCAAATATGACATCAACTGAAAAAGATCCAACCGATGAAAAATCGTCGAAAGACAACACCCCGCAAAATACAGAGGAAAATGAGAAACTTGCATTGTCCGAATACATAACTAACCTAGAAGCTAGACTGAAGTTAAAAAATGAGATGCGTAATCAAAATTTGAACTGTATAAGGCCTCCAGAAAACTATTTTTCAAAGTTAGACTCGGGTTTAAAGAAAAACACAACTTTCGTCAAGAAATTGAAATCGTTCAGCGCGACCCAAATTGACGCACTTTTGAAGGATTTCAGCGCGTTGAATCTTACTAAATATGTCTCAGAAGTTGCAGCTGCTATTGCTGAGGCCAAGTTAAAGATGTCAGATATTCCCGCCGCACTGAATTTGTGTTCTGCTCTCCATCGTACTTATAGTGAATTTTCAACAAATTTTTTCGAAAATTGGCAAAAGATTTTGACTTTTAAAGCTACAGATAAGATAACGAATTCGTCCAAATTGCGTGTTGATATAAGATTTTATGCCGAGTTGGTAGCAATTGGTATATTTGCTAATAAGACTGGCTTGCCATTGTTGGGGAATGTACTGACTGTTTTAATAAACATGGACAAAGAAGAACACAATAACATTCCTATACTACTGTCATTCTGTAAGCACTGTGGGGAGGATTATGCTGGATTAGTTCCTAAGAAGATAAAAGATGCTGCTGAGGTAAAATGATATTTGCGTCATTTAATTATTAATATTTTATAATTAATTATCATTATTCTGCAATATGTAGTTAAATTTACTAACTTATACCATTATTTCCCTGTTGCCTTTGTATACACAACACTAGATAAATATCTAATCTATTTTAATTGTTGTAGAAATACAACATAACAATACCACGGAACACTTTCCTACCAGCTGAAAAACAGAACATTGTGAGAACTCTCCTGAAGGACTATTTTATATCTCTGACTAAGCACCTGTTGAGTGAAAGGACACAGCTGCAGGCCCTGCATGCAGCTAATCAAAGAACTTTGCACACCAGGGGAGAACTATCTCAGGAGAGAAAGGACCAATTAGAGCAGCATCAGGTAATGTTTCACTACAATTACTTTTATTAGGCATTTTGTAGGATACTCAGCAATTTGTATCAGAAAAAAATACTTGTGATAAACAAATGACTGTGTCCTAGACAGCATACATTTTTTAATTTACAGATCCAGCTACACATTGATGAATCTTGTTCCATGGCGATATTCAAATAAAAATTTGCAGCTTATTATCTTTGAATTCTGAGTTCTCTTGAACACAATACATTATTTGTTCTTCTAGGCAACATATGACAAACTTCTAGCAGGAGCACAAAGCTTTGCAGAAGTACTTGGAGAAGACTTAGGCGAAGCTGGTGAGCCTCCAGTCCTTTCCTTAGCAGTCACAGAGGCCCAAGGGACTGTTACTATTGGAGGCAATGAGGAGTTCACACTGCAAGCAGGTGCAGATCCCTGGCAAGATGAAGATACAAGAACATTCTATACTAGCTTGCCAGACTTGAAAGTCTTCATGCCTAATTATCAAATGAAAGAGGTATTACTAAAACCAGATCTATTTGTGTTAAGATATAATATTAAATAAGCAAGTGAAGGTTAGTCTTCTTGTTATGTATTTTTTTTACTTTAGATAACACATTATCTTTGATTCAGAAATGCAATTATTTTATTTTATGCATGGAATTATTTTAGTCCATTTTACACCAGAAAAGATGTTTTGTTTCCACACAGTTATGAAACTTACTTGAATAATAACAATTGCAATCAGGTAGTAATTTAACAAAAATTTAAATGTATATAACAATGTTATCCACTATAACAAATTTTTCATTATTAGCAGACAGTAAAGAATAAACCAGAAACAGTGACAGAAGAAATGCTTGATGAAGATCTCAAAGAAGACGAGCTTAGCGACACTGAAGAGCCTTCATCAGTTCCTGATGTGGAACAAGAAGAATCTCAACCTGCAAACATCTCTAATAAATATGCACTGGATGCATTTTTGAACGAACTCCCTAATTGTATCAATAGGGAACTTATAGACAATGCAGCTGTAGATTTTGTACTGAATTTGAGTACAAAGAACAATAGAAAAAAACTGACAAGGGTTCTTTTTAGTGTGGCTCGTACTAGACTCGATTTACTGCCATTTTATGCAAGGTTTGCAGCTATCTTATATCCTGTACTTCCTGATGTATGTGCGGAACTCTGTCAGATGTTGAAACAAGACTTCAAATATCATGTTAGGAAAAAGGATCAAATTAATATTGAATCTAAGGTAATTGACTTTTATGTAAACCTAAACCTACATACGGACACTGGTTTAGATTTGGAATGGTCCAAAGAGGGGAGAATTTTCATTATTAACCAGTCTTTGTATATTAATGACCACAGTGAGAGTTTTAATAGTAAATTACCTTTGTAATATACAAGTTGCTATCCAAACTGATATATGTCAGTGGACACTGATGACTAAATGTATGGGAAAAAGACTTCCCACACCTGATCAAAATCAATGTCAGTATTGGTATAAAGTAGTAATTTTATTGTCTAAATAGATTTTTTCTGCCGATTCTCTTTCAGATAAAAGTAGTACGATTCATTGGAGAATTAGTGAAATTCAGCATGTACTCAAAGATGGAAGCACTGTACTGTTTAAAAGTTTTGTTACATGACTTCAAACATCACCATATAGAAATGGCATGCAATCTCTTAGAAACTTGTGGTAGATACTTATATTGTAATCCAGATACACATCAAAGAACAATGATATACTTACAGCAAATGATGAGAAAAAAGGTAAGATTCCCATAATTTTTCATAGGCTATATAAAACGAAAGTCTAGTAGTCTACCTAATCACCTTATTACCCATCGATATACATACTCACAAAAACAAAAAACTACACCCTCCGTGATATCTTGTCTTTCCCAGCATAGTTATCTTCCTAGTTGGAGCCAAGTGAAATGTAACATATTTGTTCATAGTAGATCCTAAATTTACCTGATTAATCTAAAATAAAGAAGCGCAAACTATAATAATTTCTCTATGTAATTTTTTAACAAAGATTCAATGTTAATAAAAATTAAATATAACAAACTTCGACAGACTGTGTCAGCTCTCGACTCACGCTACGTCACGCAAATCGAAAATGCATTTTATTATGTTTGTCCACCTGAGACTCCTGCACAGCCTAAGGAGGAAGAACCTGCAATGAACCAATTTATTCGGAAAATCTTGCATGAAGATTTACAAAAGAGTAATGAGGAGAAAATTTTGCGATTAATGCGAAAATTGAACTGGGATGACCCTGACGTTTCATCTATTGCTATACAACATTTGGCTGGAGGTTGGAGAGTTAGAGCCAGTGCCAGACGTGCTTTAGCTAAATTAACTGCTGAACTTTCCGCCTGGCAAGAAGCCGTTGCCCCAGCAGCTGTAGATACTATTTTAGAAGAAATTAGGCTAACCATGGAAGATCCTCATCCCAGGTACAACCAAAGAAGAATAGCAACAGTACGTTACTTGGGAGAGTTGTACAATTATAAATTGTTAGACTCTCGTGATGTGTTCACTGTGTTGTACTCATTTATCACTTTTGGTGTAACAAACGATCATGGTAATGTGTCTCCTCTTGATCCTCCAGATAATGTGTTCAGAATAAGACTAGTTTGTGCTCTGCTTGAAACTTGTGGAGCTTACTTTAATAGTGGTTCTAGTAAAAAAAGGCTTGATTATTTCTTAGTTTTCTTCCAAAATTATTACTGGTTCAAATATTCAGATCCTTACTGGAGTGACGAGAACCAGTTTCCCATTTATGTGAAATATATTTACCAAGAATGTTTAACTTCATTGAGGCCTAAATTGACTCTCTATACGAGTTGGCAACAATGTAAAGATGCAATTGAAGAACTGAGGCAAAGCTTGTACCCTGAATTAGGCGAAGATGAGCAAGGCGATAATGATGACCAGGGTGAAGATAACAGTGTAAATGATGGTCTGGATACAATTATTGAGACGGATGATGAGACTGACAACCCTCAACTGCCTGACGAAAGTTCTGATGAAGAACCTATAACAGAAAATGCAGGTAATGAAGATAATGAAATTCAAGCTGATGAAATGACTATTGAACCTAGGAGACCCGCAGCAAAACCGGTAAGTGTCTACGGTAGTATACTACACTACAAGTCATAATGGTTTGTCTGCTATAGGGATCCGTAGTTGCTTAAAAAATTCTTAACAGGAGATGTGAATTTTTGTGTCGTAAACAACTAGACTTTTCAGTAGTCCAAGTAAATCACATATCTGACATTTTGGTGTCAGCTATTTTAGGGTATCAACTATAGTCCGTTTTTATTGAAGATGGAAAAATTTGACATTTGCAGGGTTGCCAGTTTTCGTAAAATTTTAAATAGTCATGTAGCTGTTGTCGATAGATTTATCGATAGGCTGGAAAGATGATAATAGTTTCCAAAAAATGTATGAATTGTGAGACTTATAACATTCTAATGATTAGTAATTGCGTTATCGCCGTCTTTACTCTTATTTTGACGTTTGGCCCGCGAGTATCAAAATCAATTCGTAAAGTATCTACAGACGCACGTTCAAATTATTGCCCTATTGTAGACTATGTAGAATACCACCTGAACTCGTTTTTATTCATATACATTTTTAATAATGATAGTTGGATTTGATTATCTATACTGAATTAAAATGAAAAACCACAAAATTTCCCTTTTTGATTTTTAATAGATGTGATGAACTTACAAAAGTTGACAATTGAAATGTACTTAACAACGTACGTAACAATAACGTGAACTAACAAAAGAAACGTAATAAGCGCGAGCGCAAGTTAGCACATCCGAACAAGCCAAAGAGTGGTAGTCGAATGCGGCAAATTCAACCGGCCCGCTGTGCCCGTGCGGCATTTTATTTATTTGTTTAAATTTTAGTAGCTACTTTTGTCTATAATAAGTAATATAATAACGACTCGCATATACCAATTACCAGCATAAGTAAAGATGACGTATATTTTTATTATACAGTTTTTTACGTTTTTCAATGTTAATTTATAATAAAAAAAATAAAAGCAATAGTAGCCCAGCAGTGGCACGAATAATGGGCCGATGATGATTCAAATTTAACAAGTTCGGACAATCATTGCGTAAGCGTAACCAATATTCAGTCGATAATTCATTCATTCATTCATTCATATTTATCGACTGCAATCACTAGCTACTTGAGAACGGGCAACACTTTTGCGCAATGAATTGTCAAATTTTTCCATCTTCAATAAAAACGGACTATATATGGATATATACAAGACAGAAACGCGATCGGTAAAACTGTTTTCCTATGTTGTCCGATTCTTAGTGGTTTAATATAATTACAGTGATAGTTTTCGTTCATTTTAGTAAAAATACTTGTCATGTATGTGAATAAGTCAATGATGTGAATAAAATTTCTATCTATCTACATATTTACAGGTAGAGGATGTAGAATTCGAATCAGCCTTTGAAAAGATGGTAATGGAAAATATAGCAGAGAGGCAACGAGAGAACAGACCGCAGCAGAGAGACATAGCGGTGCCAATGGTGTGCCGGCAGACTACTAAAAAGACCTACGAACAGTTACTGGTAAGCATTAATACTTTTTGCCACACAGGTATTACAAACATGTACAGTCAAAAGCCCATTAAGTCTGATATTTTGGACCTTTCTTATTGAAAGCGGCATAGAGTTTAATTTCATTCTTAAGTTTCATGCTTCATGTGTTCTCAATGTACCAAACAATAACAATTTAACACGATTTTGTTAAGTGTTGTAATATTAACTGTGTATTATCAATTTTAAGCATTGAATAATGCATACATGGATTTACCTCGTTTCTAATATTTTTCGACTTTTCATTATACAGGCTGTATATTTGAAAGTGAGACATATTCATACATGTCAAAGTAAATCATGTTACAACTTAATATAGACTAAAATAAAATTACGATATGGGATAGACCAAAAAATAAATCAACAAATTTGTTTTGGAGTGTACATAGGAATAAACCTATTCCCTTTACGATTGATTTCGAGTGCAATGGGAATACTACCAAGCGAGCGCCGAGTGAGACAGCAACAATAACAATGATTTCACATCTCCCTTCCTACTAAAAGCACCTCTTCACTTATTGCGTAAAGTCGCACCATCTCAGTCAATTCGACGTTAGAATAAATATCTATTTTGCGCGAGCGAGCGGAAGTACAAATAATTTCCGTATCTTCACTAGACCAAGGTCGCGCGTGCACTGTCTCTATGCGCCCGCGCCCCCATCCCCGACTTGTGCTTTGTTTTTCGCCGCCGTGCCGCAGCTCGCCGTTGCGTCGGAGCAATAATAGTGACGTGCATAGATTTCGATAACTAATGTTGTTCACAAGTAGTAGTCGATAAAAAAATAAAAACAATTTTTTTTTGTAAAGTTTGAGTTCATTAGTTTATTATTTCTTTGGGTTCAGAATCAGGAATATAACGCACTCTATAAGTATGTCCCACTTTCAAATATACAGCCTGTGTATACATTTAATTTAGTAGTATTATCTGTAAAATGTTTCCAATTTTTTAAAACTTTTAATTTACCCACATCACTTCTACACTTTTGCATGCTGTGTTGTAATATTTGGATGATACAATACTAATTAGGCCAATTGTTTGTGACTATAGAAAGATAGTCATAGAGATGTTTTTCAGCAAGGGAAGGAAGGTGTGGAATTCGTGTTGATGGTGCGCAAGGGCACCAAGCCGCAGTATAAGTCTTTCCATGCTCCTCCAGAACTTGCGAGTAATTTGCAGCAACAGGCGCTAGTTGATAAACAAGAGATGGAGCGAGTCAAGCGGTAAGTATATACTTTCTTGACAAGTGCTGGACATTCGCATGTGGCATTAAAACAATATAGTTTTCTTGTTACGTTGTTTTATTGGGAGTTTTCATTTTGTCTATGGTTTACAGATTAACACTAAATATATCAGAGAGACAAGAAGAAGAAGAATATAGTGCCGAAAGCGGCGGTGGGTCAGGAGGTAGCGGGAACCCTAACAGAGGGCAGCACGTACGACAGAAGTACCAACACCCGAAAGGAGCGCCTGACGCTGATCTCATTTTTGGCCCGAAAAAATTTAAATGACATTTAGACCATAAACACTTAGAGCATACATTTTATGATGAATATGAGGAATTCTAACAACGATGTAGAATTTAAAAACATTCATGCTGAATTTAAATACTGTTAACGATTCAATGTTTAACTTATGAAAAACGTTATTGCTTTTCATTTTCAATGTTAGAATTATATTTCTGTTAAAGAGCTGATAGAGGTGTTCAAATATACAAGACAAGGAGAAATCCTTATCGATGCTACAAATTTAAGCTGGAGATTGTGCTCAACATAACAAGTACGTTTAGAAAAATATGTATTCTATATTATGTCAAAAAAATTTGGTCGCCACATAAAATGAGTGTAGTAGTTGAATGGAATGTTTATAGAACTAAGCATAACTTGTAATCGCTATTTTACTTGTTATTTTTTGTTAAATTTGTTTGATATGTATCATTGAGTGTAATCACCACCTGACGTCTCTGACCAAGTGATCCAAATTTCAGCTGAACTTCAACCTGACTACGTAGTCAGAAATTTCATAATTTGAAATTTAATTTTCAACATGCCTATTGCTCTTCTTTTATAATCGAATTTAACTACTCTAGGAAAACTCTAGTGTTGTCTTTTTCGAGTTTCTAGCGATACAAAAGATAAAATTCGTTATATTGTGATCGTTTAAACCAGTCTGCGTCTTAGTCTAGCGCCGCCGAAACTTGCCCACGCAATTTCGACGTAATCATTTCTTTACGAAAAGCGCTTAGATTACGTAGCGGAGGTCGGGAAGGCGTGGCGCTACACAAAAGTATGACTCGGTTTGCTTGGACTATTTTTGATTGACCAATCACAGGAGTTAAAAAATTTCCACCAACAGAATTGACTCCGCATGTTGTTACTGCAAAATTTTTTGCCTTTCCGTCGTCGTACCTTATGAGTAAACTAGTTTACGGATCACATTGAGCCTTAGAAGTGTGCATTACAGAAACTGAATATAGTCAACGTTATGTCGTAATTTATGGATTAAACGTAAATTGTTGTAAAATCACTAGGTAAAATTGTAGAAAGTATCTGTGTTGTACGATAACTTGCTTTTCTAATTAAACGAGAATGCATAAATGTTGTTTGTATACATACCTTCATTACCCATTGTTTATCAAGTTTCTTGTTGCGCATTTGATTTTTTTTTATAATATCAAGTGACGGGACGGACAAGTCATGTGCCTAATGGTAAGCTACACGCCCTCAAATCGATAGTAATACAGTCCTTCCATCGCATGTAATTTTCCATATCATTCGGCAGCTAAAATTCGAATACATAATTATTACATTACATAATTAAAGGCACTAGTGAATATAACACAACATTTACTATATAATTATTAACACATGCTTCGATCTATGTATCACTCACTGCATAAAGTGTACTTACGTCGAAGTGATCATCACAAAAGTATATCGCTGAATTTACAGACATTTCGTCGTGCTAGGACCAACCATTTTTTTCGTATGTCGGATTTTCGAGGTACATCAATAAATAGTTTATTTGGGGTAATTATAGAAGTATTCCTACATTGAGGTACTACACACCAACGATATGTTTTCCTTTCCATAACGACTTCAAACTTCACAAAAACTTTAAAATAACACCTTGCCTTTGATTTCGTAGCTTGTTTACCTACAAATGACGTCACGCGTTCAATTTGACATTTTGTTACGTTTGCGCGCCAATTTGTTTCTATTTAAATTTTAAGGTAGTTTTAGCACATTTTAGAGACTATTAAGCTTTATTTTAATAAAATATTATTTTTCATGGCTGTACATATATATTTTAGTTAATTCTAGACACTTTCTGAAAAATTGTCCGATTCCCTATTGTATTTTTTTAAACTTTCGCGGTTTTTTCTTGGCGAAAGTAGTTTGGTGTGATTTGTTGCTCAGTTTTAGAATCGGAATTAAATATATAAATCTGAATATTGACTGGTAAGTTTTGGTTTCCACACTTCAGTAGAATTTATATATCGCTTTTTTTAAAGAATAATTTAATTTGGTTTTGTATTTACGCGTAAAACGAATTAGATTTTGACCACGTTACCAAACAGAGAAATTTGGGTCACTTTGAATGGTTCAAAGTTGGAGGAGGTTGAAAAATATTATGAAGAAAGAGACAAGTCACACAAAAGTAAACAAGGAACGGGAGATGAAACTGGCGCACAGTCGAAAAAACGAGGAAGACCTGTGGATTCAAAGAACAAAAAGAAAAAGAAGACTACAAACAATACAGAAGCAGAAGACAAGAAAGAAGATGCGCAAAGTGAAGAAACTAAAAACAGAAAAACAAACGACACAAGTTCTGAAAATGAGTCGCAAGAAAATGGTATTAGAATTAGAAATTAGAAATAGTAGCAGTTGAGGCTTTAGTTCACCAACCTTCCGAACCCATAATAACATCAGGTAGTGCAGTTGACGATAAAAGGATTGCAAACCAACAAGAAGATATAATTCAGGAAATGGAAGAATGTGTTGTAAATGAAGGAGGTCCTGATTTACAAGTAGAGAGCGAAGTTATCGTTGAAGAAGAACTTATTGAAGAATATTTAGTAGGTGATTCAAGTGGCATTTTGATGGATGTGACTCCAGACAAGCTTGCAGGCAAAGGAAACGGCATAGATGAAGATATAAGAAACAATACGCACTGTGTTTTTAGAGAAGAGGGTAGTCTGTTTCCAGGGAGAGTTCTAAAAGTTACTCCTTTAGAAATTACTGTCTCAGTGCTCCAAAAATGCTTTTTAGGAGGTTGGTCTTGGTCCTCTAACGTTGAGACATGTCAAGTTAATAAAGCCGATATTGTGAATATTATAAAAGAGCAACAGCTATCTATAAAAGGCGACCGTATTTATATTGATGACGACATTTTATTCAAGGAGTGGTGTGAATAGATTTTTGTTATGTATTTATTTACTTTGCCTAAAATAATTGTTATAGGTGATTCATTTTGATCTCGTTTGATAGCTAAATAAGCGTAGAATTTATTATTAAACAGAAAATTTTCATTTTTATTCGCATTAATTAAAAAATCTAAAAAAAACAAGTTTTTTATTTCAACTTAATTAGTTCATCTCGTTTTATTATGGCAATACCAAGTCAAATGTCGGTTTTTGAACGCACTGTCAGGAATATTTGGACAGATTCACATCTAAAAAATATGAACATGTCGTATAATCTTCACACAAACTGTAAAATATCTAGAAAATATACGGTTTCCATATCGAAGGCTAATCTTATTCAAAGTTACCCAAAATTCAAGGCAACTTTGAATGTGACTTTTGGAGCAAATCTAGAACAGTTTTGTTGAATAATTACTAAATTCCTTCTATAAGAACAAAAAAAGGGCTTAAAAGAACACTATTCAGTTAATAAAGTAATTGTTAAGAAACTAAACCAGAAATTATCTTTTCCCTCGTTAAAGGATAGGTAAATTACTAATGAAAAAATTGCCTTTAATGTTTTTAAAATACCGTG